AGTAGAACTGTGCTCAAGTGAGGTAAACATTAAGTTGGTGGATGAGGTATATATTAATGAAAAAGAATGGACAGGTGGCATTAAAAGCTTGCCAGGAAGTCCCCATCACTTCCACACAGCCAGGAGGGTCGGCTGTGTCCCAGGGGACATTAAGCACATCATCCCCAGCTGGTCAAGGGACGTGATTGTCCTGCTCTGCTCTGCACTGGAGTGGCCCCATCTTGAGTCCTGTGTGCAGTTTTGGGCACCACAATATAAAAAAGACATTAAGCTATTGGAGAGCATCCAGAGGAGGGCCACAGGGATGGGGAGGGGTCGAGGGGAAGCCCTATGAAGTGTGGCTGAGGTCATTTGGTCTGTGCAGCCTGGAGAAGAGGAAACAGGAGAGATCTCATTGTGGTCTTCATCATCCTCACAAGGTGGAGCAGAGGGGCAGGCACTGATCTCTTCGCTCTCATGACCAGTGACAGGACTCAAGGAAACTGCATGATGCTGTCTGTGTTGGGGAGGTTTCGGTTGGATATTAGGAAAAGATTTTTCACCCAGAGCATGGTTGGGTACTGGAAAAGGATCCCCAGGGAAGTGATTACAGCCCTAAGCCTGTTTGGGGTCCAGGAAGCGTTAAGACATTCATCTCAGGCACATGGCATGATTCTTAGGGTGTCCTGCACAGGGCCAGGAGTTGGACTCAATGATCCTGATGAGTCCTTTCCAACTCAGCATATCCTGTGATTCTGTGATATCTCTTTGTTGACCTTTTTTCCCAGCCTCTGTTTTCAGCTGTGCTTGGGCATTCGTATTGGTTTTAGTGGGATTGTTCCACTACAGCACAAGTATCTACTGCAGAGAAAAATATATTTTCCTGTTTCAAGTCCTTGTTAATAAACTTGCTGGTTTTACAGCCATTACTTCTTGATGTCTGATTTTTTTCAGTTAATTAGCTAATGATTAATTAGTTTTGTCATTAATTAGTTAATTAAGTAATTGGGATCTAACCTGGTTGGTTTGAGATTCTGAAGGAAATAAGTAGTTTCAGAGAAACTGGTGACTTGGCGAATATACTGGGTTTCTTTTGATCTGATGTTCAGTGTTCTCAAAATATTGCTGGGCTACACTGCTGAGGTGAAGTTGTTAACACACATGCCCCAGTTGGATTCCCATCTGGGCAAATCTGTGTACCCTACCTTTGAATTTTTTCTGTCTAGTAAATAAAAACCTACAAAATACTTTGTAATCTTTTCCTCCTGCGCGATTGCTACATTCCATCCTGTAATTGCACTCCAATATAGATGAAGTTACTTATGTGACTGGTGCTTTGGCGTCTTTCAGGATCTTCTCCAATATAAATGGTGTACACAGAAGTCATAGCTCCAGTTTATATGGAGGAAAAATCCTAGCGTAGTGAATGCCATCTATTCAGTTTCTCAGTGTTTGGTCTTTACAGGATAATAGATGCTTATTGTGTAATTTTGTTGGTTGGAGCCTTTTTTTTACAGGATTTATATTTTCTAGACACCAAGTCTCACTGCAGTTCAATGCAGTTCAGTTGTTCATGAGTTGAAATGCATTTAATAGGTATCTTCAAAGCCAGTTGTATGCTGTTGCTTTCACTGTGACACTTCTGTGTTTCTGTGCGCTGTTTTATTCGTGGTTATGTAATACAAAGGAAAAAACTGTGAAGGTGAAAACAGGAACATGCCTACATGAAAAAAAACTGGCTTGAGACAGAGCAGCTGGTAGAACTGCACAGCCTTTTCTTGCTGTGTGCCGAGCACTCAGAGCCTATGTGGAAATAGTTCGACCGATTAAACAAGTAAACTAAATTGTGCACATGGATTTCTGCAGGATCAGCTCAGAAGGGCGAATGTCTGGCAAGAGCAGGCCTCTGGTGTGACACATTTAATTGCTTCTGTGTAGGTGTGTAGGTTTGACTTCCAACCCTGAATGACTGCCCACTGCAAACTGTTTTGTTTCAGTCCTCAAGACCTGTGAGGGATTCACGCACTTTTCGTGGACTGGAAATCCTCCCGCAGCAATCCCACTGATCCACAGTGTCTCTGCCTGTTCCTGCATAGCCCACTGGCTGCCCACCTGTAGCAGGGACATATGCCTGTTCCCAGCAGGTGTCCCCTGGAGGGTCAGGCAGCCCAATGGGGCTGCTCTGCCGTGGGCTCTGTGGTAGTTGATGTGTGGAGTAGAGATTCTCACGGCTCAGTGAGGGTTCAGTAGTAGCTCATTCGTCCCACTGTCAGTACGATTTCAGCTCTTCCTCCACCTGCTGCTGCTTCAGGAGAGGGAGCTGGCAGCATCTCATGAGAGAGGATTTAATGTAATCATGGAAGTCTGATGTCTGCATATTCCAGCTTTTGTTTTGTTTCTCGTCTTGGAGCACTTAAGGAAGCTGAAACTTTGTCTTCACTGGGTTGCCTTCATTAGTAGGGAAGATTTTATGTGTAACCCTGATGTTATAGCAATTACTACTGTCAAACCCTTGTAAGTGCGTGGAATACAAGGCTAAACATTCCTTCGATCCTAAACCTGTAGTGTGACGATAGCTCCTTGTGGCGGCAGCACCTGATTCGGCCGAATGCCCCGTGCCCGGTGCAGCGCTGACAGTCCCGGTGGCTGCGAAAGGAGCAGCCGAAGGACCGGGGGCAGACAGAAGGGAGAGGGGGGGATGGCTGGAGCTGAGCTGCTGCGGAGTAGACAGTGCTGCTCTCCCTCCTGGCGTGTCCGGGCTCTGCCCGGCTCCGGGATGATCCACACGGTGCTGATGGTTTTACTTTCAGGGTTTGAATAGCTGGATGGTCTGGCACTGAAATTCGCTGCAAATGTACAGCTCCTCCTGTACATTATTTATTATGTTCCTAACTCCTCATCTTCTAGTATTCCTCTTGAAGAAAGGTGTTGATAATTTAGGTTTTGACAGGAAATAGAATTATAGTTGTGCTCATTACCTTACCTGTAAGCCCTGCTGCTGCACTTAATGGTATCTGAGCTTTTATCCTTAATATTTCTAAACCTGCTATTTAGGAGGGTTTTTTTATGCTAGAACAACAGAGGATATAAAGATTTCAAAGCAAGTGTAAAGACACAAAAAAATGACACTGTTTCATTTTTTATCATATAATTGTGAAATGCAAAAAAGAAGAGACGACTATATGGGTGGTGATGAATTAGTGTGACAGCCCAGCTTTGGAAAACTTGGAGTTCTTTTTAGTGGGATTAATTTCCTCTCTTTATATCACAATAATTTCACTTAGTATATTTAACTTACGTTTATGTAATTTGCTCCTGCAGCCCTTATTCTCCCAACAGTGTATTTTTATAGTGAGCATATTACAGAACCACCCCTCTGCATGGGGAAACATGGAAAAAACAAAGTGCAGGTTGTAAAACCCAGGGCCTGGCTAGAGCCAAACTTGAGGCGGGAATTGGAAGGGTCACTTTTGTTTGTATATGGTGTGTGTGTGTTACCGGCGCACGGTCTACGTGTACAGTGTACTTACACGCAAACGTGATTTTTTGGGGAACTGTTACTTACGTTGGTGTGATGATGGATGTCATTGGAGTGTAAGTGACAGTGGGGATGGCGAGGAATGCGCCTGCAGCTGCTGGGTGTCTGGGAGCAGTGTATTCCTCTTCCTCTGTCCATGCAATAACCCACTGTGTAAACCTGATGGTTTCTCAGTGAGCAGCTGATATGGTGAAGTGTTCATTGCTAGGTCTAAGTAGAAGCCAAACAGAAGTGCTTCCATGCATTTTACACTTTTACTGTCAACAAACACTGTACAGACAAGTTTAGGTACAGCTGAGACTGTTGGCCAGGTGGTGAATTCCAAAACAGCTCAAGTTTTGAATGCCTTCCGGGAGAGAACTTGACTGAGCAAAAGAGGGAGAGCTGTAATTTCTCAGGCAAAGCATTAGCTGCCAGAGATGAGCTTCTGAGATATTTGGCTATTTATTTGATTGAGATATTTGTCTAATTAATAAAAAGTTAACCCTTAACCAATTCTGCTTTTAACTAATGACACTGGATGACACCCCTTCACAATTCTAAAACCTCAAAATCAGTCTCTGTATTTTATGAACAGTATCTTTCTCACTAAAGACTGGGAGTATATTTTGCCTGAGAAATACCCACACAAGGAGAAAAAAAACCGTCCTGTTGCAGGTTTCCTTTCACTCTTATCTGTGGCACAGCTTTAGGCTAACTAGAAGAGTACAAATGTTTGCTGCTTTCTGAGATCCTGCTCTAGTCTGTTTTTTTAAATGTCATTTTCTTGCCGCGTGCCAGTAAGCTCTCTTACAACTCCCTCGGTTAGCCAAATGTCATCTGTGTCCCACAGAGTAAAGTGTAATGGTGTATTTAAGAAGTGGGAAGGAGAAGTGAGGAAAAGAGTGACTGCTTTGCCTTTTAGTCTATTGGACAAGTACTCGAAATTCCACACATTCTTCTCCTGTTAACAGTATGTTTACTTTTCATCACTGGGTTATTAGGATTAACAAAAGTCATTGCTTCAAGCTCATTTAATTTGAATTTAGTGAAAGCAAACTACCTCCTGCAGACTGTAGGAAGCATTCTTCTGCTGCAGAAATGTATTAATTTGCAAAAAGCAGCCACCAAAAAGTGGAGACTTGACAACCACTTCCACCCCAATGTTCAACATCTCTGTGCATGCACTGCATTCTAATGAAGTACCTTATGTTGCAAATTCCAGGACAGTTTGAATAATCTGACAGTCTAATTAACATTTCAGTCTATCAAAGATTTGCTTTCAATGCCAAGAAGCTCTTTCTGTACATACTTTCTAGAGTGTAGGGTGGCAGACTGTGGACACCACTTCAAAACATCATTTACCCAAAGAATTAGACTCTGCTTTCTAGTCCATTGCTGCATCTGCAGTAGAGCTTGTTTTAACTTTCAAAGTATCTAAGAAACCTCTTGCGTTTGCTGTATGTTAAGCCTGTTGCCTATCAGAATGCTCTACTAAGAGTAGTTAGGTAAATATTTCTTTATTAAATGATTAATTCCATAAATAAATTCTTTTAATTCATTGAATATAAAATTAAAATCATTTACAACTTATTCCAGTATTACAGGGGCTGGAAGGGGTAAAAAAACTCAAAAAAAATAAAAACAAAACCAAAAGCTACAGGTTGATAAATAAAATACTCAGCTTTAAAACAACTGATTTCTGTTTGCCATTAAAACTACAGTTGGTACATAATAGCTGCCACTGTGAACACCCCAGAAGTGCCCACCTCAGGAAGGAATGTAACTTCCAACTTGGTTGGGAAAGGGTGGGAGAAGATTGGAGGGATGGGGAGAAGCATAGTGTTAAACTGAACAGGATAGTAAAGTTTTCATAACCAGAACAAAACATTTATCTGATCACTTACAAACAGAAAACAGTATATAATTAGATAAGGTGCTCCAAAAAGAAGCAGTAAAGTTGCTCCAGTACTATGAAGCTTTAAGTATGCTTAAATCTCTGTTGCATTAGTGTCCAGTTGCACAGTGCACTCCTGTAACATCTCAATGTTGCCCTCAAATGGGCAAGGCACCATTTCCATCAGAGGTCCTTTCTCCATGGCTGGTTACTTCAAAATTCTGGTTTGCATCCCACCCCCAACACAACTTAGTCCCTAAATTTATGGATGTCATTGACTAGTCTGTAGAAGGGATAAGCTTCGTTTGCATGGGGACAGTTGTAGTTGCATCGGCAGGACTGGATCATCATGACACTCTTGGTGAAGGTTTCCCCATCATCGCAGCGGAACCTGACCTTGACAGTCCTGGTCTGCTGGGGCGTGCAGCACCTGCCATCCACACAGGAGCCACAGTACTTGGGGCGGTACTTCTTCACACTGGAGCATCCGGCGTAAGTAAACTTCACTGGGGATGGGGACTTCCTAGTCTTGGTACATTTTTTTCCCTTCTGTAAAGTAAAGGCAATAACATTATTAGCAGGAGATTCTTCTCCAGCCTTTACCCCTACCCAGAGCAGCTTAGAAAGAAAAGGAACACCAGAAGAGTCTGTATTTACCTTTAGGGAGGCATAGCTAGGCTGGCCACATGGCCTCACTTCGCATATCCTGGTCTCTTTGATGAGCTTGCAGTCAGCATTGTCATTGGTCACCCTTGTGGAGATGCCAGTTCCACATGTCTTTGAGCACTGGGACCAAGAAGTTGTTTGCACAATGCATTTAGGATTCTCAAAAGCTCGGCTTTGTGGCTCGGATCCAAAAACTGGAAAAGAAAAGGAGGGCTTAGCCTAAATATATTCTCTCACTGTGTTTCTTTCTTTCCATTTGGGTCTAAGGAGTCATATAGCCGCTCTCTGGCTGCCTCCCCTTAATGTCACGCAGATAAACCCACACTCACCAGGTAGCATTTTCAGGCCTCCCTTCACAATGGCAATCAGCTCGTTGTTCCTGGTTAGTTCACCTTCAGAATCATCTGGACCAAACTCTTTGCTGAAGAAGCCTTCCAGCTCCTCCAGCGCATCCTTGCTTTCATCACAGACCCACTCCTCGCAGCACTGCCCGGGCACTTTGACCAGCCTGGGGCTAGGGCAGCCCAGGTTGGGAAGAGAGAGCTCCTGCGGGCAGAGCGGGATGCAGCCCACAGCTCCATCTATGCACGTACACTGGTGTTTACAGTTCGGCTGGAAGCTCTCCCCGTTCTGGTAGATTTTGGAGTTATATTCACACGGTCTTCCCTCGGACTGTGCTGCAGAGATCAAGAAGGAGGGAAAGAAGAGAGTCAGCGGCGGGAATCGCTGGTTTAAGCGCAGGTATTTGCTGGTCTGTTAAACTCAGTGCACGGCGGAGCTCCCTACAACCCCCCGGGGACGCGGGGCCAGAACAATAACTTAGTCAGGAATCACTTTTCCTTATGTGCGTTTAGCGGAGCCCAGACATACTGAATCGCATTCCAGACTGCTGAAGTCATGTGCCTTTCTGCCAAGCTACCGACAACAAAGCATAACCATACATGGGCTCGAAATTACCGAACCCCAGCAGTGCGGGACGCGGGGTCCGTTCCCGGGGGAGCGGGGTCGCCGCTTACCTCTGCAGATGCCCTTCAGGGCGGCGGGACTGGCCCCGAAGTTGCACTCCAGCCCCTTGGTGTGGTCGCAGGGCTGCGATCGGCTGCAGTCCTCGTTCAGCTGCTTGGCGCAGACCTTGCAGCAGCCGCAGCCGTCCGGCACCAGCCCCACGCCGGGGGCGCACTGCGGCGCGGCCGCCGGGCACTGGCACACGGCGGGGCAGGGTGAGCCCAGAGCCTGCGGAGCGGAGCGCACGGTGAGCGCCGGCAGCGCAGCAGAGACACCCGACCCGCCTCCCCCTCGGCGGCCGCGGGAAGAGCCGCGACACTTACCAGGCGGGCCAGGCAGAGGAGAGCGGCCGCCAGAGCGGGGCGGGTGCCCGCGAAGCCCATGTCCAGCGCCGGTGCAGCGGAGCCCGTGTGAGCGCGGAGCGGGAGCGCGGCCGGCGCGGTCTGAGGCGGCTCCGGGCGCCGCCGCCTTATATGGGGCGCGGGGCCGCCGCGTGCGCCGCGGCGCTGACGTCGCGCGTTCCGGGCCGCGGCCGCGTCCAGCGCTCGCGGCATCCCAGGAATGCGGCTGGCGCGCGCCGCGGCCGCCCCGCCCCGCCCCGGCTCCGGCCCCGCGGCCAAGGCGGCGGCGCTGCCGCGGGGGGTCCCCGGCCCGGGCCCGGCCGCCACAGAGCGCGGAGGGTCCCCGCGAACGCGAGGGTGGTAGCGGCAGGCGCCGTTCGCTCTCGGGGCTGTGCCGGCGGTGCCGCGCACCCGCACCTGCGGGACAGCGGAGCTGTCCTGCCCGCCCCGGGCGCCCGCGGCGCTGCCCCTCCAGCTGACAGTGCCCGCGGGGTCACCGGGGCTCGGGCCCTGCCGCTGCTGCCCTGCGAGGGACAGTCACAACCCTTCCCAGTACGGCAGAGCCCGAGAGCCTGGCGGTGCCCATTGGCACCGAGGGGCCCGGTTTCCAGGCAGGGAACGGGATGGCCACGCGGCGAACATTCTCCCTCCCTGTCAACCTGCTTATCTCCGGGCTCAGTGTCCCTCACTCAAGTTGGGTGCCCTTGAATAGTATTGGCTCGTTGAAGTTTAATATTTGGGGATGGGGAGGAGAGATTTAGCTTCTGTTGTGGCGTCTTTTCTTTTCCTGGCTGTAAGTATTTCCAGATGGGATTTAGACCCCAGACGTAACAATATTTCCATATTTGGTATAGCAGTAGCCCGCATTTTTCACATTTTTCTGCTCTGTTATCCAACCACAAAGCATTCTTGACAGCTTCAGATGTTGTTAAATATAGCCTTAACTTCTGTTCCCAGGGCAGGAAATTCTTTGGAATTCCTGTTTTTCACGCAATCTGTCTATCATGATTTAGGAGAACTGCGCTGGAGGAGCCAACTGGCGTTCTGCTGCAGTTCACTCCTTTATTGAAATAGCCCAGCAGTTGGGTCTGCTGCCCAAAGGCGTTACAATGAGTTCCCATTCCAGGGATTTTTCTTTGCAAATGAGATTATTGTTCCCAACACAAGTTTGGGGTTTTTCTTGTCGCCTTCAAGGCTGGAAGGTGGAGAAGCGGATTCAAAGGAGAGGCGAAAACTTGCAAAAAACCCTCCAAAGCCTATAAAAAGTGGAGGGGTGGAGGGTGAGGGGGACAGTGGGGACGGAGGGAGGCAGAGAGGAGGTATGTGATTAACCTGGCTGCGGCGTTCCCAAACAGCAATGTCCCTGCGTGCCGCTCGCCCGGGACGGGCAGCCGGGGAGGGGAGGCAGCCGCAGCCCCGCCGCTCGGAGGAGCCGAGCCTGGACGTCTCGTCGCCTGCCCGGTGGCCGAAAGGGTGACAGAAAAGACCGTTTCGTGGGGACGGTGCATAGGGCTCCGGTAAGTGCCACTCCCGGGGCCGCGGGCCCGTGTGCTGTTCCCTGTGTGTTCCCACACCAGTGGGAATGATGAGACACCTTGTCGGGCCCTGCCGGGGCCGCAGAAAGGAGGGTCCTTGTTGTTTGTCAGTGCCGGCAGCCCTGCGGTGCCTCCGCGGGCACCGGGAGGTCTCTCCTCTCCATCGCGCACCTGTCGCTCGCGGCCCTAGCCCCGGGGGGAGCGGCCCGGGGGGGATAGCCCGGCTGGGATTCCCAAACCCGCAGGCACCGCCGAGCTCCGTGGGCAGCACGGGGTCCCGGGGCCGGATGGGACTGGATGCGATGGGACGGTTTGGGGTGGGCGCTGCAGGGTGGGGCAGCCTGTCCCCGCAGGGGGGTGCCGTGACCCCGGCGACGGGGCGGTGCGAGGGGTGTCCCCATCGCATGGGACACCGATGCCGCTGCCAGCCAGGCTGCGGAGCCCGGCCCCAAACTCCTCAAGGATGTCCTACGCTGCGTGTGAAGGGCTCGTGTCCTCAGCACTGCTGTCGCTCCTCCCGGCAGTGGTCAGGCCCCTGCCCAGGCCAGTCTTGATAGAGGGTCCTCACTATAGGGTTTCCCCACCTCCCCAATTTATTCTCTTCATGATTTTCTTTTCATTCAAGTAAATTGGATTGACGTTTTACTTTGTAGTGGTTTAGGGGGTGGGGAAAGGTGATGGGATGGAAGCTCTGGGCGCTCTTTGCCCAGAACATGTACTTCAGAAGGCAGCAGTGTTTTTCTTCATCACTTGTATGCCTCAAAATTCAACCAGAAAGGACAATTGCTGAAAGGGAAACCAGTCTTTAGTTATATACGGTAACATCTCTCTCTGGAGACTGCCAATGTGTATCATGTAATACCATTTCTGATGACAGGAATTGTTTAATGTGTCCAGCAAGAATTGGAGAGAGACCACCAGCAAGCTTTGATGGCTGCCAGTAATGGCAGTAACAACTTTCCATCTCCACGTATTTGGCTGAGCCCCAGCTGGTGATGAGGAGTAGGACAGTCCCATTTCCAGACTCCAAGCTATCCACTCCATTGGTCTTCCCTTGGTTTCACACATGTATGGGTTTTCCTGTGGTACTTTAGATTTAAAACTCTGAAGTGGTTTTTAGATGAAGAATCTGATTGGTACTTTTTCCCTGGATGACTCTTTAAACAACAGCATTATGATCAGGAGGAACAAATCTGTGATTCAATACACCTTGATTAATGAAAAAACACCTTGATTAATTTCAAAAATTTTGAAAAATAAGCTAAGACATCATTGCATGGTTAAATTAGCCAGTTTTGCTTTTCAGGGATTTATGCAAACACTTGTTTATTTAATTACATCTAATTTAAGGACACGCACTGAGCGCTTTGCTTTGATCTATGACTTTCACAACATTCAGCAAATGCCACAGGAAAAGTCAATGAATAGCGCCTTTTCTCACTTGGTTTCATGTCTTACCACACATTCACACAACTTTGATGGGAAACTGTAACCGAACCTACATTTGCTCAAGAAAAGGTCACTTCGAAAGCTTTGAAGCACCTTTTAACAAACCTGTCCTGAATTTCAAGTAGTTGTCAACACTTGAGATGGGTTGAGTTTCTTTGGAGTTCAGGTTAGACTGTGACCCTTTCCCTGCACACGTTTCCCTGTCACAAACCATGACCCAGTGTTTACCCTCCAAGCTGTGGAGGGTAAATAGGATGGGGTACATGTATGCCTACTTCTCCTGAATGTACATCAGGAAACAGGAAAAAGTTTGGAATATCTTCCTTTTTTAGATTTTGTTCGGTGCAGTGTACTGTTCCAGACCTTTGTTGTCCTAAGTGAACTGGGAAATATTCCCTGCTTCATGTCACAGAGAGTTTTACTGGCTTCTCAATTTGTGCTATAGGCAGTTGCTGGGGGCTCAGCTAATGCAAAGCAGGAATTTGAAACTGTTGGCTTACATAGCAGGTATTACAGATTTACTGAGTATATCCTGTCATTTTCACAGGCCTCTGTCTCTCCAGGGAAAGGACTTTCCAAAGAAATAAGTCAAGAAAAAATAACTAGCTTATTTTCCCTCCACCCAGCATCGTTTCTTCCCGGCTGTGCATAGGAACCTTGGAGCAGCATGAAGGGCTGTGTGGGACAGAGGCTTCTCCGGGTGCTGGTGCTCCCACTGACAGTAAGTATCCAGCACCAAACTGGAGCACATCAGAGGTTTACAACCCTGTGGATTCTGGAGAAAGGTCTTACTAAATTCAGTGTCCAGCCCTTTTCTGTACTGTGTTTTATTTCCTCTTTCTCAGTCTCTTTTTCCTTTGCCCATCCATTGCTGTGTGCTTCTTCCATCTCTCCCACTCTTTCTTCTCTTTTTCCGTGTTCCAGTCTTTTCTCTGTGTCCTTCCTCTTCTAGTGGGTCCTGATTTTGGCTGCCATAAAGTTCATTTTCTTCATAGTAGCTGGTACGGTGCTGTCTTTTGGATTTAGAATAATGTTGCTAGCACACTGATGTTTTAGTAGTTGCTGAGCAGTGCTTATAGGAAGTTGAGGACTTTTCAGCTCCCCACACCACCCCACCAACGAGTAGGCTGGGGTGAAGAAGCTAGGAGAAGACACAGATGGAACAGCTGATCCCAACTGGCCGAAGGGATATTCCATATCATATGACAGTATATAAACTAGGGGGAAGCTGGCCAGGGGCCATCTCTCCAGAACTGTCTGACATTGGTCAGTGGGTGGTGGGAAATTGCATTGGGCATCACTTGTTTTTTATGTTCTAATTATTTTATCATTTATTATTATTACCGTTGTTGTTATTATTATAGCTGTTATGATTATTGTTGTTGTTGTTGTTATTATTCCTCCTTCCTTTTCTGTTCTATTAAACTACCTTTATCTAAACCCATGAATTTTACTTTTTTTCCCCAGTTCTCTCCCCCATCACGTTGCAGAGGGAGGGAAGGGGCAGTCAGTGAGTGGCTCTGTGGTGTTTAGCTGCCTGCTGGGTTAAACCACGACAGTGTTTACCTACCTTGGGCTGGGCCTCTCCTGCAGACCCTGCCAGGCCGCTGGTTCCTGCTGCACTAAATCAGTCCTCCCAGAGTCAATGGCTCCTCTCAGTCACTCACAGGAGGTGCAAATCCAGTGGGACAAATTAAGCATAGCAACACACAGACAGAGCAGCCAAGTAGCCAGCAGGCTTCAGCAGCTAAAATTCAAGTGGGTTCAGAAGTTTTTCCTTACTTTGATTTGCTCAGAGTTTATGCTGAATTCTTTTGAGTATGGCATTTCCTATTTGTTTTCTTCCTCTTCCCTGCTACCTTCCCTTCAGCTGTGCTCATGCCTTTCAGTTTTTGTACAGTCTGTGCCTTGCCTGTGGTTTCTGATATTTGGGGGGTTTTGCTTGGCAGTATTTGTGCACTGAGAGGCACTGTGCTTTGTAGGTGTGCTGCATTTTCCTCTGGCTGCTGTCAAGGTGCTGTAGAGGTTCCCAGTGTGTGGAAGTGCAAGGGGGGCTTTTGAGCCTACTCAGCCTGCAGGGAAACAGAGAAGCAAAATTTGTTG